GTTGGGGTGTTGAACTTCATGACTCCATGCATAGTTGATGGAACCGCCCCTAGGTTTAAAAGAGCTGCTCTCCCTAGAATTATATTGTGTTCCGCCGCATGCCGAATGACCACAAAGTCGATCAGGGCGGTTTTCTTTTGCTGCTTATAGTGGCTGGTTATGGTCAAGGGAAGGTGAATCGTGCCTAGCGGCCATAGGCTATGGCCGGTGAACCCGACCAACCTCCCCATCATGGGCCGTAAGTTGTCCTTCCAGCGATCTGGGAGAAGCCGGAAGCAGTTCTCATAGATGATGTCCGCCGAACTTCCCGTGTCCACGTAGACCCTGTGTATGGTTACATCCCTAATGGAGGCTTGGATCACTAGTGGGTCATCGCCCCTCCATCCTCCGGGCGAGGGTCTTGAACGGAGAATGTGAGCGTGCGCATCGGGGCTCTGGCGGTCCCCTGTTCCGTTTGTTATTCTCCATTGCTTCTCTTACTCCGTATCATGAATATCTCCTTGGCACGCAAGTTTCGTGCTATTTCCACCAAGTCCCCTTTAAGCTGCTTCTCCTCCATTTCTTTTTTTTAACACTAAACAGTTAGTTGTGTCATGCGTCTTACTTTTGTGGTACTCACAGTACCGGTTCTTTGGCGACTTGGCTGGCTGCTGCTTCTCCGACACCATGTAAACCTCCGAGCAACGACCACAACTGTCATCCTTAGCAAACGGTCGGAACCGAGCTTGTGGTCTTCTCGTTTGGTCGTAGTGCCAACTTCCACCTCGGAAGTCCATGTGACCTGGGTTGTGGTGTCTGGCAGTCTCTGCTTTCAAGTAGGCCTGTTTTGCTGCTTCGCCATCCTCCTGCCTCAAATATCTCTCCACCCTTTCCTTCAATTCAGCCCGTGTTAGGGGCTTCTTTCCCATGAGTTTTTGCGATAAGGGGCCTGGCAAAATCCCCCACGTGAAGGCGCCGGCTATGAACCCCTCGTCATGCCCCGATACATCTAACGTGGTGTTTATGAATCTTGTGAAGTATTCCTATACAGTTTCACCCTCCTTTTGCTTATAGCCTATGATTGAATGAGAGTCTCCCTTGTACTTGCGTAATTGCATGAAGTTGGTAAGGAAAAGATACTTAAGCTGGGCAAAATTGGAGATGCTACCCGGTTGTAACGTCTTGAACCACATGCCGGCGTTGCCATCGAGTGTAGTTGGGAAATACATGCACCAAAACCTCTCATGAAGATTCAATGACGTCATGGTCTAATCATATGTGTCGATGTGGCTATCTAGGTCAGTGATTCCGCTATATGTTTTGAGCGTCGGTAGTTTGGCTGTGTTTGGTATTTCGTAGTCCAACAATTCTTTGATAAACGGAGACGTCACACTATGGGAAAGGCATTCGTGGGCAAGGATGGTGGACGATCCCGGCTACTGGTATTGTCTGTTTAAGCCACATCTATCACACGGCTTGGTCTGTAAAAGGGGTACGGCTGGAATGGTAGTTGGAGGGTGTAACTGGAGGGGAAAGGGTGTATGGGGGGTCACAGGGCTAACCGTTGTTGTCTGTTGTAAGTTACTGTTGAGCGTCGGTAGTTTGGCTGTGTTTGGTATTTCGTAGTCCAACAATTCTTTGACAAACAGAGACGTCACACTATGGGAAAGGCATTCGTGGCCAAGGATGGTGGACGATCCCGACTGCTGGTATTATGTGTTTAAGCCACATCTATCACACGGCTTGGTCCGTAAAAGGGGTACGGCTAGAATGGTAGTTGGAGGGTGTAACTAGAAGGGAAAGGGTGTATGGGGGGTCACAGGGCTAACCGTTGTTGTCTGTTGTAAGTTCCTGTTGGCGGCGATGCTTTGTCCAGTCCATGTATCGGTCAATGAATAGACAGGTGGTGTATGAGCTATCATGGTTTGCGCCAATGGTGGTACTGAAAGCATTGAACTCTGTCCACTTGTCACCTAATACGGCAGTGGGATGTTGAAAACGTGGCCTGGTGGAATCATCGTTGAGTGAACCGCTATTGTTTATTGCAATGATGGCAAGAAGAACAGTGGCATCTGAAAAGGCGTTGTTGGAAATGCCCCCTAAAGTTGTTCTTGGCTGGTGAACTAGCGGTTGTGGGGCAACTTCAGTGGTTACCGTTGAGCTTCCTTTGCTTGTAGTGGCCCTACTGATCACTGTATGCGGCGGTGTTTCGTCCAACGCTGCCATGGGACGTATGGGACTATCTTGTTGTCCCTCACTGCCGTTGGACGCCATTTACTTGCCACTTTCGTGCTTTTGGTTTATGTTCTTGATCTCACAAACGGATGGCGCCAAATGATGCGACCTTGTCTTAGCTCGATCGGTGCCGTTCACTTGGATTCTCGGCTGCCTCTGCAAGATCATAAAGAAAGAAGGCCGTCAGTCTCTTTCCGGGAGGAGTTCCCGGAAGAACGCTCCGACGGTCAAGTTAGAGAGTGTTTAGGTTCTTTGGGTGTGCACTCTTCGAAATTCCAGAGAGCTTACCTCGTAGGTCTGAGAGCATATCCTTTTATACCTAGCTCCCTTGTCTGATCCGTACCAGACAAGATCACTTTTTGGGGAGACATGATCAGGGGCGCTGATTGGAGAGTCATGCGCCTTCAACCGTTAGGGCGCTCTTATTGGCTCCGTCGGTAATGGTTTGATCCTCCTGCTTCTCTCCTGAATGTATCTTTTGTCTTGGAGCTGGGAGCGTCTCTTGGCGGGCACGAGCCTTTCGCCTGTGCCTTCCACTCCCGGTTGGCGTGTCCGGCTCGTGCTTCGTTTGTGCTGCCCTAGGCACACACACACACACACACATATATATATATATATATATATATATATATATATATATATATATAGAGAGAGAGAGAGAGAGAGCTAACCTTGAGCATTTTGGTGTATCTTTGCAAGGAAGGAGAAGGTTTTCAAGCAAGGAGCAAAAGAAGGCTATTAGATCTATCAATATTCATCTAAGGGCTTCTGTTAGAGGTATCAAGTTCAAACCTTTCTCTCTTGTTTGAGTAGATTTCTCATTTTGAAGATTATGGCTTCTTTTCTTTATATTTTGGGACTTTGAGGATTTGGGGTTCATGAGGAGGCTTGAACTCCAGATCTGGACCATAGGAGGTCCCTAGCATCTAAAGGTTCCTGCTTTATTCAGCCTTGAGGGAAATTTATGAGTGAAAAACCCATTTAGATCATGATCTTGGCATTTCTTGCCCAAATGTCATGCATGAACGTAAAGTCAATGACTTTACATAATAAGTGAGCCCTGAGAGTGTGGATCTAGAGTTTGGGAAAGTATCCTGCCTTAAAATCGTCTGAATACAAGTTGATTCTGAATGGACTCGCCGAGTTGATGAGCCGACTCGGTGAGTAGATTAGGGTTGTCCCGATTAGCTGGATCATGCGAGAGCTCGGCGAGTTAGGGGTTAACTCGACAAGCTGGACCTTCATGAGATGATCGAGAATCGACAGGACACGACGAATCGCACGAGTGCACTCGGCGAGTCTGGTCAATTTCAGACTATTGACTAGAGTTTGACTTTTGTTGACTTTAAGGTTTGGTCAAAATGAGTAATGGAGGTTAGGGAAGGGTAAAATGGTCTTTTACCCATTCCTAGGACTAAGAGTTTAAGAGAGATCAATGAATGTTGTAGTTGAGTGTGAGGAGAGTATTAATTAGAGATATTATCCTTGTGATAAGCGTAGACTAGATCAAGGATTCCGAGCACAAGATTTTACTAGCTAGCTTACGAGGTGAGTCTTATCACTATACTATACCTAGTGTGGTATTTATGTGTGACCATAGGGTCTTATGTGTTTACTTGAGTTATGCATGTTATGTGTGATATGAACTGTGTGCTATATTATGTGATACTTAGATCAGGCCGAGGGTCCAACGAACTATGAGGTCGGAGGGTTCTCACTTAGACCGGACCAGAGGGTCCAACGAGCTGTGGGACTGGAGGGTCCCACTGAGACACATTGACCATAGGGTCTTCCAGAGCTATAGCCTCGAGTGGCTAATTATTTGTGTGTGGTATTTTGGGGAACTCACTAACCTTTATGCTTACAATGTTATGTGTTATGTGTTTCAGGTACTTCCAAGGATCGCGGGAAGGCACCGACGTGATTGTACACACTTGTTCGAGATTATGTTGAGGATTTTGGGATTTGACTTTTGTTATGTGATGTTACCTTGCTCTTTCTCTATCCACAAACTTCTCTCAAACGTCTAGCTATCACTGCAAGATCACAAAGAATAGAGGCCGTCAGCGGCTTTCCGGGAGGAGCTCCCAGAAGAACGCTCTGACGGTCAAGTTAGAGGGTGTTTTAGGGTTTGTGTGTATTCTCTCTAGAAAGCCCAGAGAACTTACCTCACAAGCCTTAGAGCACATCCTTTTATACCCAGCGCTCCTGCTTGAGCCGTACCAAACAGGATCGCTTTTGGGGAGACAGGATCAGAGGCGCTGATTGGAGGGTTATGCGCCTTCAACCGCTAGAGCACTCTCATTGGCTCCGACGGTAATGATCTAATCCTTATATTTGTCTCCTGATCGTATCTTTTGGCTTGGAACAAGGAGCGCCTCTTGGCAGGTGCGAGCCTTCCGCCTACGCGCTTCGCTCACGGGGACGCTCAGCGGGTGTTAAGCCTGCTGGGCTGAGCCTAGTTGGCGTGCACGGCTCTTGGGCTAGACGTGGTTCTGTTGTGCTGCCCTAGGCACGCCATCAAGTCCCCCAGTCCAGTAGTCTTAGTGTTGCAGCGCTAGTTACGGCGTTCTGGGCTTAATTAGCTGACGCGTGTCGGTTTTTCTTTATCCGCCACTCCGCCCTTAATGGCGACGTGACTGCGCATGATGATTGGCAGTTACGTCACTATGTCGGACATTTAAATGTCCCGGCTCCTCCACATCTTTATAATGGTATTTGCACGGTTTCTCTTGCCTCATTTGTTCCTCCTTCTCCTCTTTGTGTTTATCTTTCATTTTTCTTTCATGGTAAACCTTCCCGTAGTCATTCCATCCCCCGTCGAGTATCGTCAGTTGGAGATGACTTATGGCTTGTCTTCCTTAGAGGGTGTGGAGTTTCCCTCTCCTGGCTCTAGCATCTCTTCCCCTCCCCCTGATAAGATTGGGGTTTACTTGAAAACCCTAGACGCTGGTATATGCTTTCCTCTAACAGATTTTCAGGAGGAGGTCCTCCAGAAAGATGGTTGCAGCCTTCTGATGTTGACTCCCAATGCAGTTAACAAAGTGGTTGCGTTTGAAATGATCTGCAGGGCCAACGGGTATCTTCCGGATTACTTCGTCTTCAAATTTTTCTAACAATTCTGTATTACCGGAGATAAATGCACCTTCTCGGTCCGGCGAGGGGGATACGCCTTAGTTCCCGACGGGCGTACCCCCAAAAACTGGCAGGATAAATAGTCGTGGGTGAATCAGGAGCTGGTTGGGAGTGGTCGCTATCGTGCAATTGCTTTCACTGATACCATCCCTAAGCTCTTCCCCCACAACCAGGGTGTCGCCAACTACTTGAAGAGTGTGCAGGTATCCGCTGAAGATTACTCCGAGGTGCTCCTTTCTGAGTAGGGATGAGCCCCTCTTGGAGGCGGCGTGGCAAAATGGCGGTGTTCTTCTCCGTCTTTGATGGTGAGTGTTGTATCCCTCTTTTCCTTTTCATCCCCTTATTACTCCTGTGGTATTTATATTTCCGTTCTGCTTTCCCTAGGTGCTGAGTCTTCTCTGTCCATGGATGAGGTGCTGCGAAAACGTTATCGGGGCAAGTTGGAGTTTCACGAGGTGGATCTGGTCGATCGGCTTCCTCCACCTCGTCGGATGGATCAGCTTTCTCTAACCGCTTCCCCTCCTGTTCCTCCGACAAGTTCATCGGTGTCCGAGGAGAATCCACTGCATGCTTGCCCCATTTCTGATGTCATCCCCTGGGTGGCGTTCCTTATTCCTCCAAGGAGGATAGTGAGGACAACAAGGAGGGAATCATCGCCGATGTCCGGCGGATGCAGGCAAAACGAAAAGCTATACAAGCCATGGGTGAGCCAGTTACCGGTGCGCCAACTGCTACCAAGAGGGTACATACTAGGCATAACTTTTCTCGCTTGTTGAGTTCTATGAGTTCCACACCAACTGGTGTGGTAGTGATCCCTGATGACGACACGCAATAGTCCGAAGGGATCAACAGGGAGACTGAACAGCACGCTATTTCAGACTTCACTTCTATTCCTTCTCCAAGTGTCCCGTTTGTTCCTTCAAAGCTCTCTCCAGAAAAAGGTTTTGGTGTCCCTGGACAAGCTGCAGTCTCCAAGGATGGTGGTTCTGGAGATGGTGCTTATGAGTTTACTATTTTTGTTCCATCCTGGGATCTTCGCAATGACTTCTATGAGCGCCCATGCTTTGGAATTTTCGCACCATGCCTTTCCTCCGGTTGCAGTTGGAGATATGGAGGCGATGGGTAACCCTTCCCTTGCTCACAATATGGCCTACGCTGCCGTGCATGCCATGTTTTATCTTGTTACAGGTTCCCGGCGCGTCCATACCCTTGGCGATATGGAGACCGCGCATGCCGCCTGTGGATCACGTGTGGCAAGTTTGGAGCGTCGTCTTAGCGAGCTTGGTGATGATATTTGTTTATCTGAGAATAAGTACAAGTTGCTAGCATCTGAGAAAAACGTCCTTGATGAAGCCAGAGTAGTGTTGGAGGCCAAGGTTGACTCCCTCACATAGATGAATGAGGGTTTGATGATTCAGGTGGAGAGTCTTGAGCGTGATGTCGTTGATCGTGACAATCTTGTGTCGTCGCTACAGTCGGATGTGGGCGCTTCTCGTCGAGACCTGGATTGGTTGGTGCGTGTTGGTGTTGTTCGTATTGTTGATAAGTTGATTGATCATCCCGATTTTACCAATGCCATAAGCCTCATCCGCCATGCTGCGTTTGTGGCTGGAGTTGAGTCCCTTTAGAAGACTTATGTTGGTGTTGGTGGTGGGTAGGTAGTTGCTGGTGCTTCTTCGGTTAGTCCTGCGGTTAGTGTAAACGATGTTCTTTTGTCTTTTTCCAGTATGGATCATGCATCTCTGTTGGGTTTGGGGGAGTTAGGTATTGAAGGTCTTCGGGAGTTATGTTCTTTTGGTGGTTCTGAAGGTACTCCAGAAAGTGTGTTGGGTTAGGAAATTGTACCGGTAGTTGAGGTTGATGCGGGGGGGGGGGGAATGGTAAGGATGGTGAGGCTAGTGGTGAAGGTGATCACGGTGTTGGAGCAGGTATTGGTGATGTTAATGTTGGTGTGGTGGTTGTGGGTGATGGAGAGGATGTTGGGGAGGGTGCCCCGACATCGTGTGCTACACCTCCTGGGGTGTAAAAATTTATCTTCTTAGTTGATTTAGGTTTTGATGCTTCTGTCTTGTGTAATGTTTGGACTTTTAAAAACAATGTTTTATTTTCCTGGATGCGTATTTTGTAAGCTCTAAGCATTGTCTGTTTTTTGCTCGCTTTAGTTATCGTTTGCTTGCTTGTTTATTATACATTATTTAAGAGATACAACGCCCTGATGTGCTAGGAATTTCGTTTTTCCCATGCTATCGTTGAGACACTAAGTGTCGGTATTGGGCGCTCTTAGCACCCAACGATCGAGTTTTGCATGTGAACATTCAATCGTTATAAATTAATACACTAAGTATCAAAGATCAGCAATTGCATTATCATTCTACATTGACCGCGGACTTTTAAATACACTAAGTATTAAACTCATGTCACTAAGCATGGACATATGTACTCTAAGTACTTGGGATGTGCTACACTAAGCAACACATCGATCAGCTGGGATTGCGTCTCTTTCCCTCCTTCTTGTTTAAAAGAAATACTTCTTCAAGTTCCTAGCGCTCCACGTTCTTGGAATCTGCCTTCCTTCCATTGTTTCTAACACATATGCACCATTCCTGTTTGCTTGTGTGACTCTATAAGAGCCTTCCCATGTTGGGCCCAACTTACCTTGGGGATGGGCTCGACTTGCTTCATTTTTCCTCAAAACGTATTCACCAACTCTGAACGCTTTTTCCTTTACTCTTTGATTGTAGTACCTTTCTGTTGCATGCTTGTATGCAGCTTGGCGCATTCCACATTTTTCACGCTTTTCCTCTAGGATATCCAGGTTTATCCTTAGTTCTTGTGTGTTGCTTTCCTCATCCTTGTTGGCCACCCTCAGTGTGTTCACTGCCACCTCCATGGAGAGCATGGCCTCTATCCTATACGTCAGGCTGAAAGGGGTTTCCTTCGTGCTTGTTCGTGGTGTAGTTTTGTACGACCACAGCACCATCGATATCTCCTCCGCCCAATTCCCTTTTGCTTTGCCCAACCTCTTCTTGATTCCATTCACAATGGTTCGATTGGATACCTCTGTCTGTGTGTTCGCTTGCGGTGTGCTACCGATGTGAAACGTTGGCTTATCCCTTTGGTGGTGCACCATTCTCTGAACAGGCTCTCAGCAAACTGTAGGTGGTTATCGCTGACAAGAACTTTAGGTGTCCCAAATCTTGTCATGATGCTCTTCCATACGAATTTTATCATGTGTCTACCCGATATGCACGCCAGTGGCTCCGCTTCGATCCATTTTGTGAAGTTGTCCACGGTTACTGATATGTGTATTTTTATATATATTTTTATGCACTTTATTTTAATATTTTGGTCTTATTTATTCTATTTTAGAGCTAAAAAGTACTCATAATACTTTGAATTATGTTTTGCAGCTATTCGTTGTCGATAAAGCACAAAAGAAAAGACTGAAGCGGAAACCGGACTTAGGAGCTAAAAGAAATTAAAAATGCTGAAGGAGTGGGTTATGCCCCGCGTAACTTCGCATTACGCCCAACGTAGTGCCCAAAAGCGACGTACGCTGCGCGTAATTAAAGGGTACGCCCCGCGTACTGGTTGGCTTCAGATAACTTCAATCGCGTAGTGATCCTTTGTACGCCCCGCGTAATCCTATGTACGCCCAACGTACTTAAGTCGGCTACAAAGGCTTTAAAAGTCGATTTTCAGCTAACCAGGAGGGGGGATTCGACTTCTAACCTAATTTAGTCGATAATTAACCTCTGTTAAGCCGTTTTGAGGGTCTAGAAGGCGGCCGGAAGGCCGTTAAGCTAACGGGAGCGGAGATCGGTAGGGTTGGAGAGTGGATACGTGTCGGTAATCCTATGGGCTGTTAACGTAACCATGATTAGCATTCCATTGTGTTACTATTTTGTATTTAGTTTCTGACTTGGGTGTAAAAACCTTTTACTTTGTGTTTATGATTGAATGAAGCTTTGATTATTAGACTAATTGCTATATTGAATAGTTTGTTTGTGTTTAATTTATCTTGCCAAGCTTGTGAAAAGATCCTTATGTATTAATGATGATTATTTTCTGTTAATTGTTAAGTGAATGAGTTGTATGAACATATGCTTGATTGCTTGTCTCTTATGATTTTGATGACCGTCGAGATTATAAGTCTAGGAATAACGAATGTGAAACTAGGATTAACATGGGAATAAGTAAGTTAATGTGTGAGCCTTGTTTGATGACCATCAACAAGAGGTTAATTGAATGTCTAATTTGGTTAACTATATTTGCAAGTCTTGCTTGATACGAACTGAACACTAGGAAGCATGTTAGTTTAAGCAATTGATCACTGTTTGAATTGACTTGTTTGCTAAAGGATTAGTTATAGTGAACGCGAATCTAATCATTTTAGGAATCGGTGAACATGAATAAATAACTTTGTGTATGCAATTGTCTATGTTTTTAAGGTGTAACTTGTCTAAACCAAAGTACCTGAAGAGATTTGTTTTCCTGTTAGTTTATCGAGAATTGTTAATTAATTATTAGTTTGAGATTTATTAAACTATTTCTTTTATTCTTTTCGTGTGACCTATAACCTATAATCAAATATATTAAATTAATCCACCATTCCCTGTGATCGACACCCGACTTACCTAAGCTATACTGTAATCTGACTAGGTACACTGCCTATAAGTGCATAGTTAGTCTAAGTTTGTTAGGTTATAAATATTAAAATTAATGGGTACTTTCGTGCACATCAAGTTTTTGGCGCCGTTTCCGAGGAACGGCTTGTCATTAGTTTAGTTTATTTGATTATTCGTTATTAGTTTTTAGTTAGTTTTTATTTTTAGTTTGATTTTCGATGATATCATTTCGCTTGTCGGGAAGGTTCTTGTTTTTATTTGCAGGAATTTGGGATTGTACACATTGCTTGACTTTACTTTTTGCATGGGTTTCGAGAATGAAAGCGATTAGGGAATTCTTGACCTGCTTAGCC